CAACAAAGAAAAAAGAAAAAAAGACAAATAAATTAAAATCGCACAGCAAAGCAAACAAGGAGAAAAGTTAATAAAAGTTATTTAACAAGAGAAGTTCATTACCAGGTGTGTGTGTGTCGCTGCTGGGGAGGTCGCAAGTGCCCCACGCGGCAGTCAGTCACTCCTCACAGAGCCGCAAACACCCACAGTCCCAACAGAAGAAGCAGCGATGGCAGCAGTCCGCTTCCGCAATAATTGCTGGCATCACCGTGTGCTCCACCATCAAGAGCGGTACCTTCATCCGTTTCTCCAGCTTCCGCTGTTTGTGGAATGGAAAGTTTGATTGTGTTAAGCGCAGTAAGCTCATTGTCACTCAACGGTCGGTTGTACAGCAGGACGTTCGTCACCGTCACGGGCACGTCTTGTCGGCTCCACGCGCTGCCTCCATCCCCTCCAATGTAGAAGTGGGAGATCCCTTTCGAACCTTTATCCTTCATATCAAATGGCGCACCTTCCACACGCCTACCATCGACGTACACAAAGCCCTGGATGCCGTTCTGCAGCACAATGGCCACTTGGTGTGTTTTCCCTGGTTTCCAATTGCTGCTGAGCTCCGACGCCTTCCCGCCACTGGACAAAAGTTCCAACTTCTTTTCTCTGTTGTTGTACGACAGCCCCAGAAGTACAGTACTCTTAACACCATTCATCCTCTTCACACCCATCAAAGGAATGGGAGTATCTCCCTCCGGCACACCGTCGATGGACACCGTCGCCACAAGAGTGAATTTGTAGTTCGCAAAGTGGTACAGCTGATTCTCCCCCTGCGCGCCAACGGGCCACTCCGCCCACGCTCCCTGGAAGGTCACACCATCGGAAGTCTTTGTTGCCTCTGCTGCACCACCCTTTACTGTGGCGTCCACCCCAAGGTACTCGTCCCTCCATTTGTTATCAGAGAAGTTGCCAGACAAAAAGCCAACCAGCCCAGCCGTGATCTTACCAGCGCTGCAGTCAGTGTCAGCTGAGGGATCCTTCAGAGCAAGTGAAGTGGGGCACACCTGGGAGACACGTTCGTCCACTTTCTTCCATGTCGTCAGCACCTCCTTCACCCGCTTCAGCTGCTCAGCCAGACGCACAGAGACCATACCGAGTGGTGGCTTCTCCGCATCGCCCTTCTTTTCGTACAGTGCAATCAACTCATTATTATCTCCACTTCTGTACAACAGGGAGCTGGCGGCAACCTCATCGTCTCCTTCCACGGATACCGGCCCAATATCAACAATGTGCGTATTGTCCGTCAGCCAAAGATGGAGTCTGCCCTTTACATTTACTTCTTTATCAGCCTTATTGGCATACACCGGCAGAGTGACGAGCATCACATCCCTGTCCTCAATCGTCGCTGTGATGAACCCGCTCCTAACGGCCTTCTCACTTCCGACCTTTTTGCTGCTCCACACGCGCGAGAGTGTCCCGAGTGCCTCCGTCCACGAATCCCCCTTGTCAACGGACTCGTACACCCTGCGGCGGCCATCACCACACGCAGTCATCATCATGAGTTTTTTGTCCTTCCACTCCACGACGGAGGGAATCCTGCAGCCACCGTCAGACATCCCCTTCGACAGCTTCCCACCCACAGCATCCTTCGAGTATAGGATCAGCGAAACAGTCTTTCCATCCTTCTTCGTGCCTTCCACTGGGAACACAAGCGTACCGTCGTTCATCTTGACACCCGATCCACCGCTGCCAATCAGCTGCTTCAAGGAGTTGTGTTGGTCGCCTAGAGTGCACGGTAGACCGTCAGTCTCCTTCCAATGGATTCGGTTGTTGCCGGTTCCACCAACGACCTGACCCTTCACCAGCAATAGTCCGGATTTGACTGCGTCAGACGCAGCCTTACATTCAGCGAGATTTTCATGGCTGTGTTTTCCAACAAGCATGTAAATATCATTTTCCTTCACAACGGCTGTTGGTCGGCTCACATCTACTCTGTTCTCCTCCTCTGTGGAAGTGCCTTCCTCCAGAAATTGTGTATTTTTGACATCCTTCAGCACTTCCTCCGGTCCGTTATCCTTATCCATCGTGAGAAGTTGGGATGCAATGCCAGTAAAAAAATCCTCTTTTTCATCCTTTTTGCACTGTGCCTCGGCAACGGCAAACACGTCACTCCCCACTTTTACAAGACCAGGAACACCCAACGACTCCACAGTTACATCCTTAGGGATGTCATTCCATTCAAAATTTGGATTTGCCTCTGACTGCTTCTCATCAGCGGATGCAGCCCCACCACTGCCGCAGCACATCATCACGACGAGGAGGAGCAGCGCCGCGGAAGTAAACACACGCCGGGACATGTTGGGCCTCCGCTGCTCGCCCTCTCTTCCTTCCCTCCTCCTTCCGCTGGATCCGGTCACGCGGCGACGGTTGTGTGTGCGGGGTGCCTTCACTGCAGCAACACGTGAGAGCATACAAATATGTGTGTGTGGGCGGTGTGTGTGCTGTTGGTCCTTTCAGTGCCTTCCAATTTCACGGTAGCGTTTCGCGTTTGTGTTCTTTCTTCGTAAGAGAGTAAAAGAAATGAAGAAAAACAGGATAATAAAAAGGGGTGAAAAAACAAGCACCGCCACCCATGCAAAGTAAATGGCATCATCCGCATCGCAGTCGCTTCCAACAACAACAACTCACGCACACAGACACACGGAACGAGAAGGAAGAACAGTGCACCGGGAACACACAGCGACTGTTGCCACTACAAGCAGGAGCCACGGCGGGTGTGTCGTTATTCGCCACGCGTGTGCACACACCGAGAAACACCAACACACAAAACAACAAAACGCAGGCTTCTTCGCCCCTCGCGAGGGCCTCCGCAGCCACAATCCTGTGCGTGCGTGCATTCTCAGCGTTTTAAGCACGGCATGTGTGTGCATGTGCTTGTGTGTTTGGCAGCGCCTATAATTGCAGAGCAGCTGTACGCCACAAGAGAGTCAGAAGAAAGCAACGGCAGAGAGAGGCAGATAGAACACACGCACAAATTACTCATATCATCACACACAAACACACACACGCAGCCCGCGGAATGGGTGCTCTCAACCACAAAACAATGAAAAACAAAACAAAAAGCCGAAGCGTGGGACGACCAGCGCACACACTCTCATTGCTCCCGTAAAGCAAAACACACACACAGGGAGAGAGAGAGAGGTTGCCCACTCCATGCAATAAAAACAAAACAGAAACAGTTACGGTGCTCCGCCCATGCAGTCAGGCAGGACGGCAGCGGTGCGTGTCGTGCAAAAGAGAGCACCAACGGGCCTGCATGGGTGTGCATGCAATACATACAATGGGCACATTATGTGTGTGCTTCGTGGGATGAGGTGAGGGCGAGAGTCCATGCAAGGGGACACACACAGAGAGAGAGAGAGTGAAGGACGAGTGTGTGTGCGGGCGGTGCATGGCTCTCTCTCCCTCACTCTCACGCGGCCACCACCGCTGCAGCAGCCGCACACGCAACAACAACAAGAAGCAAAAGAGGGGAGGTGGTGTGGGAGACAGCGGTGCTGCCGTCACTGTTTTGTGTGTTCGTCGTATCAGTTGTGTTGGCGGTTACTGTCGTTGCTTTCGTATCTTCCCCAGTCCCTTCTGAGCCTTTGTCATGGTGGCTTTGTGGTGTGGCTGCGGACTCTGGCAACGGAACATTTTTTTGACCTTCACTCGTGGTGCCTTCGCCATCCTGTTCGCGGGAACCAACACCGTCCTGTGGAGGAGGTGGTGAGGGATTTCCTTCCACAATTCCCGCAGGCAGTGTGTTCTCTCCGTTAACTGTTGTGAGTGGATTCTCTACCGCTGGTGTATTTTTGTCGGTTTCCTTTTTTCCTTCAACTTCCGTTTGCGTAAGATTGACATTTAATTCCCGACTGCCAGAAGGAGAAGTGCTCTCTGCGGATGAAATTGACAGTTCTGTTTGCTTCTCACTGCCAATTAACTTCTTTTCGCTGGAACCTGGGCCCAGTGCAACTGTTCCCTCTTGACCACTCTGCCCTCGTACGTTTTCTTCTTCTTCATCTACCGCCCCTCCATCATCATCATCACCTTCTTCAATATCGTCATCAACATCCTCATCATCTTCCTCTGTAGGTGTGGAAAGTGAATTTTCTTTAGCACCTGCTGCTCCACCTTTTAAGTCTTGCGTGCCTTTTGAAGACGTTTCAAGTCCTTTTGATTCCGGCGGAGACTTACCACCATCCTGTTGCGCACCAACTCCCACCCCCGCCTCACATCTACCACCGACACCGCACCACAGCACGCAGAGGGCACACACCAGCAGCACACGGCCAGTCATCATCGCCATCACTCCTGTCACTTGCGTGTAGCCTTCAGCACAAACTAACTCCCCGTCAACGCAGAGTGAAAGCAAAAAGAGAGACAAGTCACACAGCAACGCAACAGCCACCGCACAGTAACAAATTCCAACACACCAGCAGCTGCGCACACACCACGAGACAGTTGGAATCAGTAGAATAGCAGAACTCGCACACCGCCCCGCCAAAAAATTTAAAAGGCAAAAAAAAAAAAAAAAAAAAAAAAAAAAAAACAACCAATAATTAAAAAGAAAAAACAAACCAGGAGCTCCAGTGCGCATGCATACGAGTGTGTCCGCGATGCGTTCAAAGTTACGGATGTGGGAAGGAACGCGGAGCACACAGCACGGCAGCAGAAGCAAGCAATGCAAAACAATCATCATAATTACAGTTACTTTATACATCGGACCACAGTAGACGTACAGATGTCCCCGTGGCTTTGAGTGCTGGCACGCACAGCCCGCACACACCTCTTCAGCCCACAGTGGTGTACGCCAGCGCGGATACGGCGAGCAGCAGCGGGGCACACACCCACGCAGAGCTGCTGAGGCTGCCGTCAACTTCGCGAAGACGTGACGGTGCGAGGGTGGCCGACACAGCTGGTGCCTCTGTAGTCGTAGCACTTGGTGGCTCTGGCGCAGTGGTGGTCGTGGTCGTGGTTGGTGCCTGTGTTGTAGTGGTCGTGGTTGTCTTGGAAAGAGCTTCGGAGTTCATATCAGCTTGTTCCTCGGATATACTTTGGCCACTTTGTGACCCTGTCGTACCTTTATCACCTTGTTTCTGTAACGCACTGGCAGCCACTTCCGATATTGGTGACGTACCGGTCAAACGTTGTCCCGCTCCGGCATCTTTTCCTGGCTTTCCAGCCGGTTTAGTCACTGGTGGTGCGTGTGGTACTGACTGATCCTTCCCCTGTCATCCTGATTCAGGAGGCGATGAATAGATGCCGGTTCCCTTCACATCAACTTCAGGCTTAGGGTGAGTTTTAGAGTCCGGTGGCTGTGTTGTAGTGGTCGTCGTCGTCTCGGCAGGCTCTTCAACCGTTTCAGGATCCTGCGCAACGCACACGGACGGGCAGAAGCACAGGGCGAGCACCAACAGGGCGCACAGCAGACGGCACGTCGTCATCATCGTGAGTGTGGTCGTTCAGTGGTGTGGAGCTGATCTGCACAGTGAGGGACATGGAGAGCAACAGGGGAGACGAGAGGTGCGGCAGACACACACAGAGGGCACACCACATGAGGAGAGGGCAGCAGCCAGGCATGCACCGTACGCCGCACACCACACACGACACACACTCCAATCCACGGCAGCAGGCACACACACACACACACAGCCCTGCCGCAACACCAACACACAGATGGAAGAGGGGGAAGCAAACAGGAGCGGCACACAAGGCTCCACCGCATGTACGTACGGCGAGAGCGGTACGTCGTGCCTGCACCCCTCACGGAGGGTACGCACACGCACAAGAGGAGGTGCAGCGCACACAGCAACACAAAAGCAAAGTAGCAATAAAAAAAGGAGATCCACGCACACCACGTGGATTGTTGGTCTACGGGAAGTGCAGCCAATATTCATCACAAAGCAGCTTGTCATTTTGCTGTTGTTGGATACTGTTATAATGAAAGGTGAGTTGCGCAAAAACCGTCCGTACAAAAGTGGCAAGTATTCCGTCGCAAACGGGCCGTCGTGCGGGCTGGGGCAGTCAAAATTCCCAATGAGGGCATTCCCGCAGTGGATGAAGCGGAGTCTCCTGTGGTCCGTCGGGGATCAGCAGCCCGTGGCGTCTCTGATGAGGCGGTGGCGGAAGCCCCTGGTCCATCTCGAGTACCCGCGTTTGTGCTTCCTGCGTCTCTTGCCTGCTGGCATGATTGGCAACTTCGGTGGCGACCTGCGCGCAAGGCGCCTGTTAGGAAGACGGTGGCGCCATTGTGGCATCCGCATGTGAAGCCCTCTCAAAGTATCGGAACGCCAGGCCGAGCACGTCAGGCATGTGCCCTCATATTGTGGACGGAAGAATGCGCTCCGCCAAAGATTCGGCAGGAGGACGTCAATCCGCCGCTCGCTGGTCGGAAAGGAGTTGCGGTGCTCACGTCGGGAAGAAGCTCCGGCGGAGGCGGGCCGTCATCCTCGGTTGGGAAGGGACGGCACAGCCGACACAGAAGGGTTGCTTGTGATCTGCATGGCGCGTGCGCAGGCCTGACGAAGAGAGGGCAGGAGTCGCACCGCGCCTGCGCGCCGTGCCGCCACTCGGGGAACGATTTCCGTGTCGACACCAGATATGGAGTTCTGCCACACCGACAACCGCCTGTCACGCGGTGTGCGCGCCTTCCTTTTCCTCCTGGACGTCCTTCGAGTTCCGTCGCCTGACTGCAGTGAGAGAGTCCACGTGCTAGGCATTGACGCAGTCCTGCGGGAGAGATCGTGCCATGACGGCACCAGCGTCCGCTGTCACGCTGCGTGGGATTCCGCAGTGTCATGGGAGAAATGTGGAGCCAACCGCGCGGCCTCAATCCACCAGTGAAAGTGGCACGGCACGAATCTCCTCGCTGACGTCGTCGTGCACCGCCAGCGGGCCAAGGCGGAGTGCCTCCATCGCCGAGAGGGAGTCTGTGGCGGTAGGAACTCGTGTGGGCGATTGGGATGCTGCTGCCAGGCGGGGAACTGGGAACTGTCCGTGGCCATGCTCAGTGGCAGGACACTCCGCTCGGCTGGAGCATGCAAGGCTGCCAGCAGCTGTGCGGTGAGGCCCCACAGGGAGCTCGGCTGTCCGGAGAGTCGAGTGGCAGCGCGGCGGATCCACATACATGGCCCCAGAGAGGCGCAGGCCGCTTCAACGGCCGATCGTCTGACACCGTCCAGGGCGTCCCTGGCGTGCCGTGGCTGGAGGACGCCCAACCCGCTGCAGCTCACAGTACCCCAGACAACAACGCGGTGCTCAGCATGAGGGGCGCGGATGCGGTCCGGGGAGATCTCCATGCGGCGGCGGACGCGTCGCAGTCCGTTGAGGACGGCATCTCCCGGCAGAGAAATGGTCGTCGCTGCCTTCCCAAGTATTGGCAAAGGTGCGGTTTCCAAGCGGATTGCGCCACGCACGTCTTCAATATACCGGAGACGTGTGAGGCGTTCGTGCTGTGTGGGTGCGCGAAACCCAATGATCCTCCGCAGCAGTGCTAGATTGGCTGCCAGGTGGACAGAAGTATCCTTCGTTGATGCGCGTGGGCCGAGCGATGCTGTGCAGCTGTCGCCGTGCCGCACTCCCAGGCTGTGGAGGTGAGTGGGGGCCGGACACGGTGCGATTGCCTCGCCGCCGTGGTGCAACGCAGTGTGGACGCATCCGACCAGACAGAAGGGATCGCATGATGTGATGGGACGCACCAGCTCCTGCGCCCAGCCGCGGCTGACGGCGGCGTGGCACGGTCTGCCCTGCAGCGGCGGTGACGTGCAAACCGAAATTGAGGTGTCGATCAATCGCATTGCCGAGCAGAACCACCAGGTGCGACTTCACGCGTGGGTTCCCACCGCCCAGACGATGGTCGGCAGCGTCCTCGTCAGAATTTCTGTTTGAAGCGATGCGGAACAGAGCGGCCCCGTTCCCGTCGGCGTCGAGCCTCAGGCTGTGCTCCGCAGCCCATTTGGCCACAACGGACAAGGCAGCCGACATTGCCGCAGCACACGCACACACACGCCATGCCGCACACAAGCGGGCTGCCCCTGCACTGCTAGAGGAGCTCTCGGCGCGCCTTGGAATGACGCAGCGGGCACCATTGGACTCGGTGCGTTGGCGCCTGTGGCTGCCTTTGTCGACGCTCCGATCCGCTCTGTTGGAAGTGCCGGCGGGGTTGTGGGGTGGCGGGAGAGCAACGGCGGACACGGTGACCTCTACGCGGCGAGTTCACAGTAACCCCTTGGCCAGTGGCAGTGCGGATGGAACGGTCATAATGATCGCACCGCCGGCACGCTTGTTGTCGAGTTCCCCGAAAGGAGGGCAGTGAAAGAAGGTCCGTCCGCATGACTCTTTGTATCTCCGCTTCAGGGCTGCGCATCACAATTGGAGTTGCCGTTTGGTTATGCAACAGGGTATGATCTGCTGGGAGAGGGCGCTGTGCGATGCTCCTGCACCTGGGACTGGTGCTGTGCCGTTGGCGGATGTTGAGTGGCCGATCATACAAATATTGCGACACCACGAGAAGAGCAGACCAAACACCCCGCGTGGATGGAGCGTTGCGGCTGGTGAGGACTCTGTGCGACGGTGATGGACGTTCTCTCGACAACGACGGATAGAAGGTTTCTCCCATTGACGGAGTCGGTGCACATGCTGTGTGTATGGCCGCCTCTGTGGTCTCCTGTTACTTCGCTGCGTGGGCCGCATTCTGACGCATTACTGGTCCCAAGCCATTTTGTTTTTCTTACTCTTCTTTTTCCTTTGTTTCTCTCCTCCCGCATCCAGGCTGCACTGCCGCTGCTACTCACACGAAACCAAAAAATGCATTTACTCAAGTCATGCGCCAGCCACGCCACACCGCCTTTCCCACTCGCGGTGTTGCTGCTGATGTGTTGCGCCAGTGGGTGTGTTGCTGATGCACCCGCCACACAATACCGCTTTGGGTTTGACGTGATGATGAGGAAGAACGGCCCGCTGTCGACTGCGGTGGTGCGTGAGGTGCCGCGCAAGGGACAGGGTGCGATACAGGCGTACACTGTCGCCACACAGGATGACGACAGTGGCTGGGAGCCGATCCGCATTGCGGTGTCCACGGAGGATCTGGAGAGAGGCACGAACAAGAAGAAGAAGTACTGCGAAGAGGGAGGGGATGAGTGCTACAATGCATTGGGGTAAAGGGTGTCATGCACAGCAGAGCATTTCTTGACGGAGGCAAATAAACAATCGCACACTTGAAAGATTCTCTTCGGTGCCGTCAAACTGCACGCTGAGCGACTAATTGTGAAACCCACTGGTGGGACGATAACTGTACCGAGGGCTATGAATGGACCGTGCAGCCACTTTACGGTTCCTACCAGGCACAAGAGTGACGGTGTGTCGAATGCAGGTTTTATCATCTACGCTGCTGCTAGGCCATCAGGCATGAATAGCAGGGCTGTGTGGGCGGCCACGTGTAACACACTGAGTGATCTTTGAGCTTTCATTGGCGCCATGAACTTTGATTCAAAGTACATGACTGACACGGCGTGGAGTGTTCGCGTTGCCGCACACGAAATTTCGCATGCACTTTGGTTCAGCCAGGAGAGCATGAGAGAAAAGAGCCTGGTGAAGAAGCCAGAGAGAAGTGTGCGTGGGAAGCACCGCAGGATGGTGGCAGGGAAGCACGTTCAGGAGAAGACGAAAGCGCACTTTGGTTGTGACTCTCTCGAGGGCATGGAGCTGGAGGACGAAGATGGCCCTCGGGAAAAAGCGATCCCTCACTGGAAGGGACGCCACGCGCTAGACGAGCTGATGGCTCCCACAGTTGGTGCCGGCTACTACACGGCTCTGACGATGGCGGTTTTTGAGGATATGGGATACTACCGCGTGAATTGGAGCATGGCGAAGCCGATGAGCTGGGGCCACCGCAGTGGCTGCGACTTCCTGGAGAAGAAGTGCAATACAACCGATAATCTTGCCGCCAAGTATCCTCACATGTTTTGCGATGCTAAAGACACAGAGACGCTTCGCTGCACCTCCGACCGCCGTCACGTTGGGACGTGCACCGCAAGCATCGTTGAGGACAAGGGGAGTCTGGTGGATAAGGACGTTTGCCCTGTCGTATCTTCCGAATTTCAAGAAATATCGTCTGGGACAACGTACAGGACGTGCTTGGACGAAAATGTGTATTATCTCCCTTGGTCGCTGACTGGCGGCGGCTCGTGGTGCCTGGACGCGGAATTACTGGAGACGAAGGACGGTGATGGCCATAAAAGCGTCAAGGGAGTGTGCGCGCAGGTGTCGTGTGAGGAGGGCACAGTGAAGGAGAGGCACCTCGGCAGCAGTGTTTTTCAGCCTTGCCCTGAGAACACTGACATCCCAGTGACGTTGAAATATTTTAGGAAAGGTGAGAAGATCAAGTGCCCACGTACGGCGAGGTGTGCACCATTGCCGCCAACGGCAGCAGTCTTGTCATTCCGAGTGCGTTGGTGGGTGGACAGGGTGACGAGCAAGAGGAGGAAGCAGAAAAGTCTGCGGTTGCTTCAGGGTCGCCTTCTCCGGAGAATACTCGTCCACAGTTGTCTCCTGTGGCGTCTGGTGCCTCCATTGAAAAGGAGCCTCCCGGTGCATCGGCTGCGGGTGTCGCTGGTGGTGGCCTTCATGCCGGTCTGAGGGGTGATCCGGGGGTGCGGACCGAAAGTGAGGACAACACTCAGCGGCGAGGGAGGAGACCTGGCAGTGGAAGCGAGGGAGCCAACAGAGCCTCCGGCCCCGACGCTTTTTTTTTTTCGCCATCACCCGGTGAGGACGTTGCACGAGCGGAGGGCGACCCGCGGGCGGATTGCCCAGCAGTGATTCCCAGTGCCTCCGCGCCTGTCACTTCGGTTCCGTCCGTCAACAGCAACGATTTTCAGACGATACCCGATGCGTTGGTACAGCAGGCCGACAGTGATTGTTGTGTGGCTGCTGCTACTGCTGGCCCCATTCCCTTTGTGCTTCTTGTTGTGGTCGCTGCGGCAGTAGTGGTGGTGCCTCTTTGAGCAGCCGCGGCGGCTGGGCGCAATCAAACTGCGGCAGGGCTACAGTATTTAATTGGCACATTGGCCCCGCACTCAAGATGTGCAAGACCGTAGCTATAACAGTATAATACACTCACTGCATTTCCCATTTCCTTTTTTGCTTGCGGGGGATGGGCAAAATGACCGGTTTTTATTGCATTGTTTGTTATTCTGGGAAAATGTATTTTTGTTTTATTGCTTAGAGGGTTTAACTTCCGTGAAAACTGTGTGTGAACGAAGTAACATGGAGAGAAAAGACAGGTCCCAGCACCACATGTATACACACGTTTTTTGATGCGATTGGGACGAGGGGAAATCACCGTACTCTAATCATGAGTACAAAGTAAAGGAAATGTGTTCCAATGGATGCGGGATCGTGCCAGTAGCTGTTTTTCTCAAGGACAAGGACGACTGCCTCTGCCTCCGTAATTGGTGCATGCGGCTTTATCTTTTACACTTTTGCTTGTTTTTGTGACTTTGCCTTTTTTGTGCGTGTGTGTCATTGCGAGAATGTGGACCTCAAATAATTTTTTTGCTTCGGCTTTTAATCTGTATGCACCCCTTTTATTTTTCTGCCTTCCCAATTTTTTGCATCCGTTTTTGATTGGCTGTGTGTGTTTCGGGTGCTCTGCTGCACTGTGGGCAGTGTGTCTTACTTCCTTCTCTCCCTGCTGTTCTGATTGTGAAAACACGTTGTGGGTCAGGGTGCATGGCTCCGTGGTTGCGGCAATACTTGTTGTAGTTGCATTGGGGCAGCCCCGACAAGACTGCCAACGTGTGGATCCCGGGTGTCTCGTTGGGCTCTTTTCCGTCTCCTGCGCGATGGACTCCCATCGTCGGCGCATCCTTTCGTGCAGTGGCGTCGGCGCAACAAGGTGGCAATGTTGTTGTTGTTGCAGCTTCAGCTGTTTTGTGTTTCCCTCTGGTATTGTGAGAGGCAGGTGTCGGATGTGACGGCAATGAGCCGAAGATAAGGAAGGAGGAGGATGGTGCGTGCGTGCGTGAGGGCCCTGCGGTGTTGGAACGGTGCGCACTGTTTGCGGGCTTGATGCGTCCCTTTGGTGCATGGCGTGTCTTGGTGTGTCCCTCTTGCCGTGTGTGGTGCCAGCCGGCTCTTCACGATTGTGGCAATGGCGTGTTGACAACTGTGTTTGGGTTGGCGTTGGCTGTTCCACCCTCTGGGGCTACGATGACGTATGCGTCACGATGGGCGACAACAATCGCGCACGACGCCTGGTCTGCAGACAAGTGACGCACCGATTGCCGACGCGACGCGGCCCTCTTGCCTTTTCGTTCTTTTGTTAGCCTACAGTCTGATGTCCAGCCGTAGTGGTCTCCTCTTTTCTCACTCCTTTTGTGTGCGACCGCATGCACTGACCATAACAATTGCACAATATAATTATTAAAGAGTGCAGGTTTGTGTGTGTGTGTGTGTGTATGTGTGTGTGTGTGTGTGTGTGTGTGTGTGTGTGTGTGTGTGCCTGCTGCCGTGGATTGGAGTGTGTGTCGTGCGTGGTGTGCGGCGTACGGTGCATGCCTGGCTGCTGCCCTCTCCTCATGTGGTGTGCCCTCTGTGTGTGTCTGCCGCACCTCTCGTCTCCCCTGTTGCTTTCCATGTCCCTCACTGTGCAGATCAGCTCCACACCACTGAACGACCACACTCACGATGATGACGACGTGCCGTCTGCTGTGCGCCCTGTTGGTGCTCGCCCTGTGCTGCTGCCCGTCCGTGTGCGTGACAACAAATGATGACGAAGATGATACTGAGACCACTATAACCTCTACAATAATTGGGCCAGATAACGGTCGTATCTCGGAGCCAAAGATGAAGTCCAATTCGCAAGAGTCAGCAGGTTTGGTGGAAGTGACGGAACAGGTTTTGGAAGAGGAGCCCGATGAAGGACTGGGACTAAATACGGATGTTGCTGCATTACAGTCAGAAAAAGCGGGCTCCGGTCCGGGAAAGGTTTCAGAAGAAATCCCCGGTCCGTTACAGGAACAAGATGCCGCCAATGCGGGAGAAGGTGTAAAAAAAGCCAATACGGAAATAAAACCAAATAACACGACAACCACAACTGCGACAAAAGCACCAATTACCACGACGACTACAACCACGACAAAGGCACTAACTACGACGACCACGACTACGACAACGACTACAGAGGCGCCAACCACGACTACCACCCTCGCACCGTCACGTCTTCGCGAAGTCGACGGCAGCCTCAGCAGCTCTGCGTGGGTGTGTGCCCCGCTGGTGCTCGCCGTATCCGCACTGGCGTACACCGCTGTGGGCTGAAGAGGTGTGTGCGGGCTGTGCGTGACAGCACTCAACCGCGGGGATTTGTGCGCGCGTCCACTGTGGTCTGATGTACAAAGCAAGAGAAAATAATGATTGTGTTTTGCTTCACTTGCTTCTGCTGCCGTGCTGTGTGCTCCACGTTGTGCCCCACATCCGTCACGTCGAACGCATCGCGGACACACTCGTATGCATGTGCAATTGAGCCCCTGGTTTTTTTTTTTTTTTTTTGAATTCTTGTTTCTTATTGCTTTTTAAACTTCTGGTTTGCGGGACGGTGTGCGAGTTCCGCAATCGTATTGATTTTATCTGTCCCATGTTGTGTGCGCTGCTGCTGGTGCGTTGACATTTGTTACTGTGCGGTGGCTGTTACTTTGGCTGTGTGACTCGTCTTTTCTTTTACTTCTTCTGCGTTGACGTGTTGTTAGTTTGTGCTGAAGGCTGCACGCAAGTGGCAGGAGTGATGATGGCGATGATGACTGGCCGTGTGCTGCTGGTGTGTGCCCTCTGCGTGCTGTGGTGCGGTGTCGGTGGTAGATGTGAGGCGGGGGTGGGAGTTGGTGCGCAACAGGATGGTGGTAAGTCTCCGCCGGAATCAAAAGGACTTGAAACGTCTTCAAAAGGCACGCAAGACTTAAAAGGTGGAGCAGCAGGTGCTAAAGAAAATTCACTTTCCACACCTACAGAGGAAGATGATGAGGATGTTGATGACGATATTGAAGAAGGTGATGATGATGATGGAGGGGCGGTAGATGAAGAAGAAGAAAACGTACGAGGGCAGAGTGGTCAAGAGGGAACAGTTGCACTGGGCCCAGGTTCCAGCGAAAAGAAGTTAATTGGCAGTGAGAAGCAAACAGAACTGTCAATTTCATCCGCAGAGAGCACTTCTCCTTCTGGCAGTCGGGAATTAAATGTCAATCTTACGCAAACGGAAGTTGAAGGAAAAAAGGAAACCGACAAAAATACACCAGCGGTAGAGAATCCACTCACAACAGTTAACGGAGAGAACACACTGCCTGCGGGAATTGTGGAAGGAAATCCCTCACCACCTCCTCCACAGGACGGTGTTGGTTCCCGCGAACAGGATGGCGAAGGCACCACGAGTGAAAGTCAAAAAAATGTTCCGTTGCCAGAGTCCGCAGCCACACCACAAAGCCATCAAGACAAAGGCTCAGAAGGGACTGGGGAAGATACGAAAGCAACGACAGTAACCGCCAACACAACTGATACGACGAACACACAAAACAGTGACGGCAGCACCGCTGTCTCCCACACCACCTCCCCTCTTTTGCTTCTTCTTGTTGTTGCGTGTGCGGCTGCTGCTGCGGTGGTGGCCGCGTGAGAGTGAGGGAGAGAGAGCCGTGCACCGCCCGCACACACACTCGTCTTTCACCCACTCTCTGTGTGTGTCCCCTTGCATGGACTCTCGCCCTCACCTCATCCCACGGAGCACACACATAATGTGCCCATTGTATATATTGCATGCACACCCATGCAGGCCCGTTGGTGCTCTCTTTTGCACGACACGCACCGCTGCCGTCCTGCCTGGCTGCATGGGCGGAGCACCGTAACTGTTTCTGTTTTGTTTTTATTGCATTGAGTGGGCGACCTCTCTCTCTCTCCCTGTGTGTGTGTTTTGCTTTACGGGAGCAATGAGAGTGTGTGCGCTGGTCGTCCCACGCTTCGGCTTTTATTTTTGTTTTAATTGTGTTGTGTTTGAGTGCACCAATTCTGCCTTTTTGATTTGCGGCATGCTTTGAGTGCATATGACTGAATATTTGTTTTTGTTTTCATATTGTTTATCCTGCTGAGGAAGTGGCAACTACTCGTATTCTTGTAAAGCCACCGCGTTTTTTCTTCCAAATAAGCCATGCGGCAGTTGATGCACGTCACTCCACAGTTGACTGCAGCGGTTTTGGTGCTGCCTGTGATGATGTCTGCGACGCGGTTGCCAGCGGGTGCCTCGTTTTCACTCTGGTGTATTCCTTTTTCTTTCACAATGTGGTGCGTACCGACGGTGCGTGGGCGTCTCTGGTGGCAGTGAGGCACGTGCGCCTCAGAGCGCAGGAGATGCGTTGCAGGTGTAGCACGTCGTTTTAAATAGCCAATGGGCGTCTGTTCCCGTGAAGGCGACAACAACGGACCGGATGGCAGCAGGAGGCATTGCGGCTTTGTTTGGTGTTGCAGGGCGGCTTTATTTAACAGTGCATTTGATGTTAATTTTGTGGGACTTTTGTGGGAGAAGGTAGGAGATTGATGGCATTAGAACTGAATTCATTTGAGTGGCTGCGCTCCGTTGGGTTGCGGCCAGTCGTGGCACTCTTTTGGGGTTTGGCCGCCCGTCTCTTTTGTTTACTTCCCACCGCAGCACGTGGATAACACTGATCCGAAGAACATTTGTTTGACCGCGTGTGGGCTGCTGCCGTGCGTGGTGCGTGGACTATGTGATTGTGTGGGGAGGTGCGTTGGGTTGACGAATACTTCTGTTTGGCGTGTCGCGGTGTGTCGGAATGATATTCGGATGACACGTGGAGGGTGTTGTTTGTAGTTTGTGTGTCTTCTCTGGTGGAGCCGACATGTGTGCGGGATTGTGGCATTGCTGGCTGACAGTTCCACGTCACTTTTCAGCATTCCTGGATGTGCTGAGGAATGACGGCTGGCGACCAGCGTGTTGGTGCTGCTGGTGGGAATAAGTGCATCGGGAATGGGCCGTTTTCTTTTTTCTGTGCTGGAGCCGATGAAATGGCACGAGGGCACCGGCTGCAGGCTGCCTGCCAGCACGTGTGAGCAGCGGGTCCATGCACACACCGACGCTCATCGCAAGAGCTTGTGCGATCACAGTGGCCTTTTGTGGCGTGCTTTTGTGGGCGTCAGCCCATCGAAGAATGTGTGAAGCAAACGGCTGACTGCACACGAGGAAAATAAGTGCGTGCACTGCGCCGTGTTTCAGCGTCGATGGCAGGGCGGCAGGAAGCCCGTGCTGGCAACTGAGACCTTTGCGTCGCGAGGGATGTTGGTGTTGATTTTGGATCGTCGAGGGTGAAGTGATTTTGCTGCTGCCCGTGTGTGTGGCCACTCCGGCAGAGGGCGGACACAAAAGGGAGGGATGCAGGCGCTGCGTGTGTGTGGGCAGGTGCCATGCAACAACTTCACAACAAACATGCTGCGACTCGGTGACCCTCACATCGTTGTGGTCCTCACGAACAGCCCAGGCACGGCCCGCATCGATGCACTTAGTGGACGGAGTGAGGCATCTTTTGAGGCGCAGCAGGGAACAGGATGCTTTGACGCAGCCACGACGTGCATGGAGTGTCACGATGGCACAGTCGGCTGTGGCTGGCGGAATATTTACTTCTCGGAGGCAACAGAGAGAGAGAGAGAGAGAGAGCTGCTCCTGCTGCTGGCGTCGTTGCTGCCTTTTGTGGCCTCCCATGCCGATTATTGTCTGTCCGCTGATCATGGGTGGTGTGCCTCCACTAGTGACGTCGTCTGCAGGCATTTCACAGCACCAGTGAAACACACATCACGTCGCATGCTTTGGCTGTGGATGTGGTGTCGTGAATGCAGCCGGCATTATTTTGCCCGACTCCTTTTCACTGCTTTGCGACGAATAGATGCGTCGCCGCCCGAGTCATTCACTGCAGCTCCGTGTGTTGTACTGCCAGCACAAGACTCTGTTGTTGTCTGACGCCTGGCTGACAGTCCAACATCACTGCGTTGGGACATGCAAGGATGTGGAATGCCGCTCACGGTGTTGGGCACCGCTGTTTGGATGCGGCGGCCACACGAGCGGATGTATTGTGGCACAATCAAATGCGTGAAGTATGCGGGATCACAGCGGCTGCAATAATATCAACGGTGCGGCACCACGGAATATGTGAGAGGAGGTGATGCATGATGAATCACAGTGGGCGGCATGCGAGGGAAGTGCACCGCGACGGAGCGTCATCCCGCCCTCAGCCTGCAGGGGAATGTACACCCACAAAATATATGGACGAGACACCACCAAACACACATGCCCTTCCATGCAGCAATAAATAAGAGCGAAGGTGCATTCTGGTGCGTGGGAGTCCACTCACATATTTTCATTTCCACCGCAATAAACGGTGAGGAATCAGGTGCCACCGCAACGAAAGGAAAAACATCTATTGCAACACTTTACCGGCGAAAGGCAGGAACAACACAAACCGAATTATTGGCTGCACCAACACAAGAAACATTCACAAGAGGAAAGAAAACAAATTTTGCACCCTGCAGAAATCCTCAACACACGACCGAGGCATGAAGGTTTGCCCTCTTTAAAAACAAAAACAAAAAACAACGCATGCAGACATCTGCCAACATCCAAACAGAAACACAACTAAATGGTTGCTTGCCTTATTCCATTAGTTGCGAGCATTTTTGGTTGTGTTTCTGCTGCTGCGGTGGTTCCCAGGCCTGCATGAAGTGGTGTGCGCCGAATATGAACGACGGCCAAACACAACTGAATTATTTTAGTGATGAATATTGGCTGCGCTTCCCGTGGACCAACAATCCACGTGGTGTGCGGGGATCTCTCATTTTTTATTGCTACTTTGCTTTTGTGTTGCTGTGTGCGCTGCACCTTCTCTTGTGTGTGTGTGCGTGTCCTCCGTGAGGGGTGCAGGCACGACGGACCGCTCTCGCCGTATGTACATGCGGTGGAGCCTTGTGTGCCGCTCCTGTTTGCTTCCCCCTCCTCCATCTGTGTGTTGGTGTTGCGGCAGGGCTGTGTGTGTGTGTGCCTGCTGCCGTGGATTGGAGTGTGTGTCGTGCGTGGTGTGCGGCGTACGGTGCATGCCTGGCTGCTGCCCTCTCCTCATGTGGTGTGCCCTCTGTGTGTGTCTGCCGCACCTCTCGTCTCCCCTGTTGCTCTCCATGTCCCTCACTGTGCAGATCAGCTCCACACCACTGAACGACCACACTCACGATGATGACGATGTGCCGTCTGCTGTGCGCCCTGATGGTGCTCGCCCTGTGCTGCTGCCCGTCCGTGTGCGCTACAGAGGAAGAAGATGCAACCGAAAAAGAAACCGTTTCAAAGGATGACGAGAAGGAGGACCCAGGCCATGTGACGGATCCGCTTCTTACAACTTCTCCTTCGCCACAAAGAAGCCAGGAGAAAAAAGGGAAGGAGATACAGAAACCAAATACACCGACTCATACGTCACAGGAAACGGCTACAGTAACCGGAACGGCACAGTCAAAAAGTAATTCCAATAAGGTACAGGAACAAGAAGATGGGCAATCCACTAATGAAAAGACTGAAAATACGAACACTAACACGTCAAATGAACAACATAAGGAATCAAATGCACCAACTACGACGACCACGACCACCACTACGACTGAGGCACCAACTACTACGACTACGGAGGCGCCAACCACGACGACCACCCGCGCACCGTCACGTCTTCGCGAAATCGACGGCAGCCTCAGCAGCTCTGCGTGGGTGTGTGCCCCGCTGCTGCTCGCCGCATCCGCGCTGGCGTACACCGCTGTGGGCTGAAGAGGTGTGTGCGGGCTGTGCGTGCCAGCACTCAGCCACGGGGACATGTGTACGTCTACTGTGGTCTGATGTATAAAGTAACTGTAATTATGATGATTGTTTTGCTTTGCTTGCTTCTGCTGCCGTGCTGTGTGCTCCGCGTTGTGCACCACATCCGCCATTTTGAACGCATTGCGGACACACTCATATGCACGACACGCATATAAGTGTTTGCGTGGACGCATTTCTGTGTGTGGGTGCATGCACGCTGGAGCCAAACTCTGCAGTTGCTTTTTTTACTTTTTTGTTGCTTCTTTACTCGTGTTTTTAATTGTTTGTTTTTCTTGCTGATTGATTGCTTTAGGGCGGTGTGTGTTTGTGTTTTTTGCCTTTTACTGATTCCAACTGCCTCATGGTGTGTTTGTTGCTGCTGGTGGGCTGGCATTTGTCACTGTGCGGTGGCTGTGTGACCTGTCTTTTCTTTTACTTCTTCTGCGCTGACGGGGCGTTGGTTTGTGCTGAAGGCTGCACGCAAGTGACAGGAGTGATGGCGATGATGACTGGCCGTGTGCTGCTGGTGTGTGCCCTCTGCGTGCTGTGGTGCTGTGGTGCGGCGGTGGTATCGTCTATCCCTGACGTTACCGGTCGTGAAAATGTTCCGCATGGGTATTTGGTTGTTAATTGGGAAAAGTTGCTAAAGAACGAATGTGCGACGGACAAAAAGTACATTAATGAGGATGGGACGGTGAATGAGTCAGCGGTGAAAGACTGCATACGCGATGCGATGAGGGTGGTTTGTAAAGTTTTTTGTCGCAAGATTTCAGGGGAACCTGACGACTCTGAAGGTGAGCGTATTTGTGAGGAGTACGTTGGCAGCCGAGATGAGGCCGGCCAATCTTCTCATGTAATAACACCGGCGGAAGCAGAAACTCTACAAGCACCAAGGAGCGAACTGGAAGAATTGGAAAAAACACCGGAAGAGACACCGAAGCCACTATCGGGAGGACCAGCAACAGAAGATGAAGCAGCAAAACCAACGGGAGGACCACCAACACCGCCAGTGGAAGCACAACACAACCGTGAAGGAAACGTGCCGGTTTTACACCCAGAAGATGACCCAGGGACCACAGAGTCAAACAGTGATTCGGAAGAGGATGACAGCGCCTCCACTACAGACAAACAAGAGGGTGTAACACCCGACGGTCATGACAAATCAACCCCAACATTACTCTCAACCGCCACCGATACTGTCAAAAATGAAGCAGACAGGCTCAATACAGAGGGAACTCAAAAACCTGCGACGGAATCAAATGCCGAAGGGAAAGAAGTAGAGGAAAGCGATGAAAAAAAATATGACAATACGAAAAAAATTCCAGCTGAAGCAGCTGCTACAACAAATAATACAGCGATGCCTGCCGACAGTGACGGCGGCACCGCGGTCTCCCACACCACCTCCCCTCTTTTGCTTCTTCTTCTTGTTGTTGTTGCGTGTGCGGCTGCTGCTGCGGTGGTGGCCGCGTGAGAGTGAGTGAGAGAGCGCCATGCACCGCCCGCACACACACTCGTCCTTCTCTCACTCTCTGTGTGTGTGTCCCCTTGCATGGACTCTCGCCCTCACCTCACCCCACGGAGCACACACATAATGTGCCCATTGTATATATTGCATGCACACCCATGCAGGCCCGTTGGTGCTCTCTTTTGCACGACACGCACCGCCGCCGTCCTGCCTGGCTGCATGGGCGGAGCACCGTAAATGTTTATTATTATTATTATTTTTTTTTTTGTAATTTTTTTAATTTGCTTCTGCTATGAGCGTTTATCTATTTCTTACAAACCCATTCCTTTTTTTTTTTTTGCGTATTTTAAATTTATTTTTCTGTTTGCTTCTTTTCATGTTTAAAAAATTTTTTTTTTCTTTTTCTTTTTTTAAATCTTTTCATTTCCCTCATCCCTTCTCTTTTTTGCTTTTGGGGGCAATCACTATGGACGTTTTTTTTCTTTTCTACTCTTCCCTCTTTTAATTGTTTCTTCTGCACTCTTCCTGTGAGGGGTGCCGTGTGTTTCCCGCCCAACTGCTCCACTCGCACACCCACCGACACGCTCACGACGACGGCCCTGTGCGCCTCGCCTGCTGCACGCATGAGGAGGGGCCGCGACGAACGGCGCGCCGAGGGAGCCGTGACGTGTGGGCGTGCGACGAGGGCCTGTGGGGCGGAGCACACATTTCTTTCCCTCTTGTTTTGTTTTCTTTTTTGCGGCCAGGGCGGGCAAACACCCGCAGCGCCACACACACAGCCACACCCTGCCGCCGTGTTTTGTTTTGTTTATTCGATGGGTGTGTGCTGCCACCGTGCGTGATTGTTGAGGTTGGGGCCGTACCGCATGTATCGCTGCCGTCCAGCTGTGCCTCTTGCTGTGCTGATGTGCCTCACTGTGCTCCTCTTCTTTTCTGCTACTCCAGCACACACACACACATAAGTATTTGCACAGTGCTCTGCAAGAATGCTCTTGGCGACGGCGGGACGCAAGCCAACGTTCCGTGCCGAGATGGCGAGGCCGCTGCGTGTGTGCCTGCGGTGGGAATCACGGTGCCATTGGATGGATGTGTGGGAAGCCTTTTGCATTGAGTTTGTGGCCGGCTGACGCGGCTGCACGATGCCCGCCATGCGTGAAGGTGCTGCCTGCTCTTGGGGTCATTCTTTTCTCTGCCCTCTGTTTTTGCTTTGCCGGGTGCGTGCGCTGCTCGGTGTGTGCTGACGCGTGACGGACGGTGCCACGATGGCCTCCTCCGGCGATGACAGTCGCTGTGCTCTCGGCACACATCCACACACATTTCCTTGTCTCTCTGTGGGAGCTGGACGCGTTGAAGGTCGATTACAGCCACACGGACACCCGCACGGTTGCTGCGCCGTACTTCTTCCAGCACTGCGATGCCGCCGGCCACACGACGTTGTGGTGCCACAAAAAGTACAAGGACAACAAGCTGCAGTGCATGACGGCCAGCCTGATCCGCGTGTGGTTGCAGCGCATGGAGCACGTGCGCCAGTACGCGTTGGGTGTTGCGCTCATGATTGTAGAGGAGAGGCGGCACGACATTGTGGTGCTGTTTGTCTTGCGCGGCCGCGGCATGCCGGCGATTGTGAGGACACGGAGCTGTTTGACTGAGGGGAGGTGGACGTTGCGGCTCAGCGGGAACGCATGACGGACTGCGTGTGCTGGAGGGGCCCGTGTTGAGGTGAGCGTGGCGTGCCGGTGAGGGAGTGAGGAGAGGGAATAACAGTAATAGTAACTGTGGGGGTGTGAGGAACGATGCAGTGGCGAGGAGCGCTCCTCTTTTGCTTTGTTGTTGTTGAACTGCGCCCACCTAATTGTTGTTGTGGTGGTGCGTGGCTCTTTTCGCTGGATTGGACGGTGCGTGGTTGTGTGACTTGTCTCTCTCTCCTTGCTTTGCGTTGACTTGGAGTTAGTTTGTGCTGAAGGCTACACGCAAGTGACAGGAGTGATGGCGATGATGATGACTGGCCGTGTGCTGCTGCTGGTGTGTGCCCTCTGCGTGCTGTGGTGCGGTGCCGGTGGTTGCGCTGAGAATGATGCGGGAGGTTTGGGTGAAGATGAAAATACCGAATTAAAAGGAATAGCATCGGATGGTTTACAGCGTGATTCTCACGACAGTGAAACTGGTAAAAAACAATTGACAGAGCCCAAAGCAGCGGAGGAACCATTGATTGCACCAGGAGGAGATCATATTGACAAGCAAGGAAGTTCGGTCGTACAACTAAAGGCAGATCGTGACGGAAGAAGGGAAGAAGTTGAACCAACGGGTAACGTTAATGGTTCACAAAAAAATTCAAAGGATGCTTTGGATACGCATCAAACAGAAATAACTGAAGTTCGTACAAAAGTGGAGGGAACACCACCATCACCACCAGAGGGAGGAGGAGGCCCAACACAAACCAAGTCACCGGAAATATCGCGTGCGCCGGTGCAATCACCAGAGCAATTATTTCCACCGGCAGCTCATGCAGGAGAAAAAAGCCTCAGAGCACCAACAGCACTGTCACCCATAACATCAGTGCAACCGCCACTTCTACCGAAAGGAAAAGGAGAAACCGACGGCGTACAACCAGGACCAGAAGATAAAAGCAACGAACCAAAGGTTAAAGTAGAACCACAAGTTCATGGAAATGAAGGTCAACACCAGTCTACACAACATCATGAAGTACCACAAGAAAAGGAACTGGAAGCGCAAGAACAGGATACCCAAAACCAAATAATAAATGAACAACACGAATCCGAACGACTTCAAGTGCAACAGGAAAAAGAAAAAGAAAAACAACGATCAGAAGAGGAACTGGAAAAACGAGAGCATCTACACGAAGAGGAACGGGAAGGAGAACATCTACAAGAAGAAATACGACATCAGGAAAAAAAACAGGAACAGCAGGAAGAAAAACACGAAGAACCACAAGAAGAACACGAAGAAATCATAAAACAAGGAAAGGAACAAGATCAACAACAACAACATCAACAACATGAAAATGCTGCGAAAAACAGCGAAGAACCCACAAAAAACGAAACTGCCGTTGGTACAAATGACACCGCTTCAACTGGCGACAGTGACTGCAGCAACGCGGTCTCGCACACCACCTCCCCTCTTTTGCTTCTTCTTGTTGTTGCGTGTGCGGCTGCGGTGGTGGCCGCGTGAGAGTGAGGGAGAGAGAGCCGTGCACCGCCCGCACACACACTCGTCCTTCTCTCTCTGTGTGTGTGTGTCCCCTTGCATGGACTCTCGCCCTCACCTCATCCCACGAAGCACACACATAATGTGCCCATTGTATACATTGCATGCACACCCATGCAGGCCCGTTGGTGCTCTCTTTTGCACGACACGCACCGCTGCCGTCCTGCCTGGCTGCATGGGCGGAGCACCGTAACTGTTTCTGTTTTGTTTTTATTGCATTGAGTGGGCGACCTCTCTCTCTCTCTCTCTCCCTGTGTGTGTGTTTTGCTTTACGGGAGCAATGAGAGTGTGTGCGCTGGTCGTCCCACGCTTCGGCTTTTTGTTTTTTATTGTTTTATGTTTTATTTGTGTTGTGGTTGAGTGCACCCATTCTGCCTTTTGATTGGCGGCATGCTTTGAGTGCATATGCCTGAATATTTCTTTTTGTTTTCATATTGTTTATCCTGCTGAGGAAGTGGCAGCTACTCGTATTCTTGTAAAGCCACCGCGTTTTTTCTTCCAAATAAGCCATGCGGCAGTTGATGCACGTCACTCCACAGTTGAGTGCAGCGGTTTTGGTGCCGCTTGTGATGATGCCTGCGCTGTGATTTGTCGGCGGGTGTCTCGCTGTCAGCCTGACGTATCCTTCGTTTCTTGACGATTTGTTGCGTACCGACGGTGCGTGGGCGTCTCTGGTGATAGTGAAGGACGCGTTTCTCAGAGCGCAGGATGCGTCGCGGGTGTGCAGCCTCGCTTGCAAGAACCGATGGGTGCCCAGCCGCATCCAGGCGTCATCAACGGACTGTGAGGACAGCATAAGGCACTGCGGATTCTTTTGGTGTTGCGCAAAGAATATATTGGACGGTGCTTTTGTTTTCCATCTTTTGCAGCTTTTGTGGGAGAAGGTGGGAAGTTGATGGCATTAGGACTGAATTCCTTTGAGTGGCTGCGCTCCGTTGACTTGCGGCCAGTCGTGGCTCTCTTTTGGGGTTTGGCAGCCCGTCTCTTTTGTTTACTTCCCACCGCAGCATGTGGATAACACTGATCCGAAGAACATTTGTTTGACCACGTGTGAGCTGCTGCCGTGCGTGGTGCGTGGACTATGTGATTGTGTGGGGAGGTGCGTTGGGGTGACGAATACTTCTGTTTTGCGTGTCGCGGTGTGTCGGAATGATGTTCGGATGACATGTGGAGGGTGTTGTTTGTAGTTTGTGTGTCTTCTCTGGTGGAGCTGACATGTGTGTGGGATTGTGGCATTGCTGGCTGACGGTTCCACGTCACTTTTCGGCATTCCTGGATGTGCTGAGGAATGACGGCTTGCGACCAGCGTGTTGGTGCTGTTGGTGGGAATAAGTGCATCGGGAATGGGTCATTTTCTCTTTTCCGTGCTGGAGCCGATGAACTGGCACGAGGGCACCGGCTGCAGGCTGCCTCCCAGCACGTGTGAGCAGCGGATCCATGCACACACCGACGCTCATCGTAAGAGCGTGTGCGATCACAGTGGCCTTTTGTGGCGTGCTTTTGTGGGCGTCAGCCCATCGAAGAATGTGTGAAGCAAACGGCTGACTGCACACGAGGAAAATAAGTGCGTGCACTGTGCCGTGTTTCAGTCTCGATGGCAGGGCGGCAGGAGGCCCGTGCTGGCAACTGAGATCTTTGCGTCGCGAGGGATGTCGGTGTTGACTTTGGATCGTCGAGGGTGAAATGATTTTTCTGCTGCCCGTGTGTGTGGCCACTCCGGCAGAGGGCGGACAGAAAAGGGAGGATGCAGGCGCTGCGTGTGTGTGTGCAGGTGCCATGCAACAACGTTACAACAAACATGCTGCGACTCGGTGACCCTCACATCGTTGTGGTCCTCACGAACAGCCGAGGCACGGCCCACACCGATGCACTTAGTGGACGGAGTGAGGCATCTTTCGAGGCGCAGCAGGGAACAGGTTGCTTTGACGCAGCCACGACGTGCATGGAGTGTCACGATGGCACAGTCGGCTGTGGCTGGTGGAATATTTACTTCTCGGAGGCAACAGAGAGAGAGAGAGAGAGAGAGAGAGAGCTGCTCCTGCTGCTGGCGTCGTTGCTGCCTTTTGTGGCCTCCCATGCCAATTAATTTCTGTCCGCTGATCATGGGTGGCATGCCTCCACTAGTGACGTCGTCTGCAGGCATTTCACACCACCAGTGAAGCACACATCACGTCGCATGCTTTGGCTGTGGATATGGTGTCGTGAATGCAGCCGGCATTATTTTGCCCGACTCCTTTTCACTGCTTTGCGACGAATAGATGCGTCTCCGCCCGAGCCATTCACTGCAGCTCCGTGTGTTGTACTGCCAGCACAAGACTCTCCTGTTGTCTGGCGCCTGGCTGACAGTCAAACACCACTGCGTTGGGACATGCAAGGATGTGGACTGCCGCTCACGGTGTTGGGCACCGCTGTTTGGATGCGGCGGCCACACGAGCGGATTTATTGTGGCACAACCAAATGCGTGAAATACGCGGAATCACAGCGGCTGCAGTAATATCAGCGGTGTGGCACCACGGAATATGTGAGAGGAGGTGATGCATGATGAATCACAGTGGGCGGCATGCGAGGGAAGTGCACCGCGACGGAGCGTCATCCCGCCCTCAGCCTGCAGGGGAATGTACACCCACAAAATATATGGACGAGACACCACCAAACACACACATGCCCTTCCATGCAGCAATAAATAGGAGCGAAGGTGCGTTCTGGTGCGTGGGAGTCCACTCACATATTTTCATTCCCACCGCAATAAACGGTGAGGAATCAGGTGCCACAGCAACGAAAGGAAAAACAAAAACATCTATTGCAACACTTTACCAGCGAAAGGCAGGAACAACACAAACCGAATTATTGGCCGCACCAACACAAGCAAAATTCACGAGAGGGAAAAAAACAAATTTTGCACCCTGCGGAAATCCCCAACACACGATCCAGGCATGAAGGTTTGCCCTCTTTAAAAACAAAGAAAACAACGCATGCAGACATCTGTCAACATTCAAACAGAAACACAAATAAACGGTTGCCTGCTTTATGCCATTCCCTGCGCTTATTTTTGCGTGTGCGGCTGCTGCGGTGGTTCCCAGGCCTGCATGAAGTGGTGTGCGCTGAATATGGACGAAGCCCGAAGGTAACTGAATTATTTTGTGATGAATATTGGCTGCACTTCCCGTGGACCAACAATCCACGTGGTGTGCGGGGACCTCCTTTTTTATTTTTACTTTGCTTTTGTGTTGCTGTGGGCGCTGCACCTCCTCTTGTGTGTGTGCGTATCCTCCGTGAGGGGTGCTGTCACGACGGACCGCTTTCACCGTATGTACATGCGGTGGAGCCTTGTGTGCCGCTCCTGTTTGCTTCTCCCTCTTCCATCTGTGTGTTGGTGTTGCGGCAGGGCTGTGTGTGTGTGTGCCTGCTGCCGTGGATTGGAATGTGTGTCGTGCGTGGTGTGCAGCGTACGGTGCATGCCTGGCTGCTGCCCTCTCTCCTCATGTGGTGTGCCCTCTGTGTGTTTCTGCCGCACCTCTCGTCTCCCCTGTTGCTCTCCATGTCCCTCACTGTGCAGATCAGCTCCACACCACTGAACGACCACACTCACGATGATGACGATGTGCCGTCTGCTGTGCGCCCTGTTGGTGCTTGCCCTGTGCTGCTGCCCTTCTGTGTGCGCTACAGAGGAAGAAGATGTGACCGAAAAAGAAACCGTTCCAAAGGATGACGAGAAGGAGGACCCAGGCCATGTGACGGATCCGCTTCTTACAACTTCTCCTTCGCCACAAAGAAGCCAGGAGAAAAAAGGGAAGGAGATACAGAAACCAAATACACCGACTCATACGTCACAGGAAACGGCTACAGTAACCGGAACGGCACAGTCAAAAAGTAATTCCAATAAGGTACAGGAACAAGAAGATGGGCAATCCACTAATGAAAAGACTGAAAATACGAACACTAACACGTCAAATGAACAACATAAGGAATCAAATGCACCAACTACGACTAAGACCACTGCGACAGAGGCACCAACTACTACGACTACGGAGGCGCCAGCTGTGTCGGCCACCCTCGCACCGTCACGTCTTCGCGAAGTCGACGGCAGCCTTAGCAGCTCTGCGTGGGTGTGTGCCCCGCTGCTGCTCGCCGCATCCGCGCTGGCGTACACCACTGTGGGCTGAAGAGGTGTGTGCGGGCTGTGCGTGCCAGCACTCAGCCACGGGGACATGTGTACGTCTACTGTGGTCTGATGTATAAAGTAAGAGTAATTATGATGATTGTTTTGCTTCGCTTTGCTTGCTTCTGCTGCCGTGCTGTGTGCTCCGCGTTGTGCACCACATCCGCCATTTTGAACGCATTGCGGACACACTCGTATGCACGACACGCATATAAGTGTTTGCGTGGACGCATTTCTGTGTGTGGGTGCATGCACGCTGGAGCCAAACTTTGCAGTTGCTTTTTCTACTTTTTTGTTGCTTCTTTACTCGTGTTTTTAATTGTTTGTTTTTCTTGCTGATTGATTGCTTTAGGGCGGTGTATGTTTGTGTTTGTTGCCTTTTACTGATTCCAACTGCCTCATGGTGTGTTTGTTGCTGCTGGTGGGCTGGCATTTGTCACTGTGCGGTGGCTGTGTGACTTGTCTCTTCCCTTTCCCTTTCACTCCGCGCTGACGGGGAGTTAGTTTGTGCTGAAGGCTGCACGCAAGTGACAGGAGTGATGGCGATGATGGCTGGCCGTGTGCTGCTGGTGTGTGCCCTCTGCGTGCTGTGGTGCTGTGGTGCGGCGGTGGTATCGTCTATCCCTGACGTTACCGGTCGTGAAAATGTTCCGCATGGGTATTTGGTTGTTAATTGGGAAAAGTTGCTAAAGAACGAATGTGCGACGGACAAAAAGTACATTAATGAGGATGGGACGGTGAATGAGTCAGCGGTGAAAGACTGCATACGCGATGCGATGAGGGTGGTTTGTAAAGTTTTTTGTCGCAAGATTTTAGGGGAACCTGACGACTCTGAAGGTGAGCGTATTTGTGAGGAGTACGTTGGCAGCCGAGATGAGGCCGGCCAATCTTCTCATGTAATAACACCGGCGGAAGCAGAAACTCTACAAGCACCAAGGAGCGAACTGGAAGAATTGGAAAAAACACCGGGAGAGACACCGAAAGCCACTATCGGGAGGACCAGCACAGAAGATGAAGCAGCAAAACCAACAGGAGGACCACCAACACCGCCAGTGGAAGCACAAGACAACCGTGAAGAAAACGTGCCGGTTTTACACCCAGAAGATGACCCAGGGACCACAGAGTCAAACAGTGATTCAGAAGAGGATGACAGCGCCTCCACTACAGACAACCAAGAGAGTGTAACACCCGACGGTCATGACAAATCAACCCCAACATTACCCTCAACCGCCACCGATAATGTCAAAAATGAAGCAGACAGGGTCAATACAGAGGGAACTCAAAAACCTGCGACGGAATCAAATGCCGAAAGGAAAGAAGTAGAGGAAAGCGATGAAAAAAAATATGACAATACGAAAAAAATTCCAGCTGAAGCAGCTGCTACAACAAATAATACGGTGATGCCTGGCGAGAGTTACGGCAGCACCGCGGTCCCCCACACCACCTCCCCTCTTTTGCTTCTTCTTCTTGTTGTTGCGTGTTTCACTGCTGCGGTGGTGGCTGCGTGAGAGTGAGTGAGAGCCATGCACCGCCCGCACACACACTCGTCTTTCACTCACTCTCTGTGTGTGTCCCCTTGCATGGACTCTCGCCCTCATCTCATCCCACGAAGCACACACATAATGTGCCCATTGTATATATTGCATGCACACCCATGCAGGCCCGTTGGTGCTCTCTTTTGCACGACACGCACCGCTGCCGTCCTGCCTGGCTGCATGGGCGGAGCACCGTAACTGTTTTTTATTTTTTATTTTTTTTTTATAATTTTTTTAATTTGCTTTTGCTACGAGCGTTTATCTATTTCTTACAAACCCATTCTTTTTTTTTTTTTTTGCGTATTTTAAATTTATTTTCCTGTTTGCTTCTTCTTTTGTTTAAAAAAAGTTTTTTTTTCTGTTCTTTTCTTTTTTTAAATCTTTCATCCCCTCATCCCTCTTTTTTGCTTTTGGGGGCAATCACCATGGACTTTTTTTCTTTTCTACTCTTTTCAATTGTTTCTTGCTGCACTCTTCCCGTGAGGGGTGCCGTGTGTTTCCCGCCCAACTGCTCCACTCGCACACCCACCGACACGCTCGTGGCGACGGCCCTGTGCGCCTCGCCTGCTGCACGCATGAGGAGGGGCCGCGACGAACGGCGCGCTGAGGGAGCCGTGACGTGTGGACGTGCGACGAGGGCCTGTGGGGCGGAGCACACATTTCTTTCCCTCTTGTTTTGTTTTCTTTTTTGCGGCCAGGGCGGGCAGACACCCGCAGCGCCACACACACACAGCCACACCCTGCCGCCGTGTTTTTTTTTTCTTTGCTTTGCGTATGCATTTCTCGCGCCGGCACTCCCTTCGGTGTCGGCCTCGTGAGCATTTCTTTTCCCTCCTGATGATTTTTTTTTGTTGCGCTCACTCTCCCGATGGAGTGACGCGACTCCCGTCATGTCTGCGTGCTTCTCTCAGTCCCCACACACACACGAGTGACTGTGCTCTGCAGGCCGCACTCACGCGCCGATGAGAGGGCTGAGGGGAGCAGCAACACGCAGATGACCCCATGAAATATAAACGATGTGCGGACACACAGAGGGTCAGACGGTTGAAGCACACGTAACCATCTTTTTAATTTTCTTTTGCGGGCAAAATATGCAGACAGTTTGGTAGGGCTATATGGCAGCCGGCTGCTTTTTAAATTTGTGTGGAACAGTAATGGACGATTTCTTTTTCATTTGTAATTATTTTGTGTGATGGGGTTTGTATAAGAAGAAGGGGAACGTTTTTTTTGTTTTAAATAAATCTTGTGTGAATTGCCGCTGCTTGGGCTGCAGTGCAGTCATGAGTTTGAGCGGTCTTCTTCTTGTTGTTTCCGTTATGCGTCTCCGCTGTACATTTTGTGCGTCTCTTCACATACTCTGCTCCCTCTTTTCTACTTCATTGCTTTGTGTTTCTGCAGGCACACACAACCACACACACAAGATGCACGTTGCAGTGGATTTGGATGCTTCTTTTGCAGTGCATGCTGGCAGTTGCGTGTGGCGGCTGTTCTCTTCCGTGGCCATGAGGAGAAGGGAGGTGGAGGGAGTGAAGTGCGCAGCCCGAGTCCCTTTCCTGCGGGTGTGGTGCACCGCGTGTGACTGCGTTGAGTTGGGCTCCGTGTCCCATTGAGGGCGGGATGGCTGGAAATTTTGGTGCCACGTCATGGATGGATGAGGGTGCACTGGCGCGTGTGGCTGTTGTGGTGCTTGCTCCGTGTTTGTTGAGTGGGGTGGCTGGGAGTCCTGGACATGTATCTGGTGATGCGGATACGGTGGTTGTGCGGGTGGATGTGTCTTTTGCTCCGAGTGACGGCAGCCTGAGTTATCGTGTGTGTGTGTGTGTGTGTGTGTGTGTGTGTGTGCATGGAAGAAGTGTTCTGTTGCCAGTGCTGAGGCTGAGCTTGAGAACTGTACTTTCAGTGGCTTTGATGTGCGCATGCATGGCAGGAATGGTGAGCTGGGTGCTGTGTGCCATGTGGCCAATGCGGTGCACACATGTAGCAACTGTGCTGCCAGCTGTGCAACGAAGGAGGAAGGGGCCACCGTTGCCTCCACGATGAATGGGACGACACATAAATACGCCGGCCCTCATGAATTGTGGTGGCGTCAATTTTCTCCCGATGGAACCATCCATCCGCCTGCACGGAGCGGCGATGCTGACCAGACGGGCATCTGTCAGTTGCCGCCGCCCCGTGAAGGGAAGGATGACACAAAATCTGGTGGGACAACTGCGCCGCAAGTTAATGCTGAGCCGTCACGTCAACACGAGGATTGGCGACAGTCTGCGGCGGCTGACGGACCCAACACCGTCGATCGGAGTCCCGCATCCAACACGGCGACCAGCACGCCTAAGACGAGGCCTGAGTTTGCCACCAATCCGAACGAAATGATGGTCCCGAATGCATCCAAGAAGAGGCTTTTCTTTGCCTATGGTTTGAAAATATTAGTGGCGTCGAATGGATCCGGGATCATGTCTGTCACTTATGGCGGCAGGGAACACGTTGCTGCGGATAACACGGACGAGGTGAGTGAGCACAACGCCACTGGACACAAATCTCTCGTTTCAGAAAATGGCGTTGCAGGCAGTGGATTTGTTGCTGAGGGTGATGCGGACGGATTGACTCAACGCAATGCCTCTGGACACGAAAACCCCAATTACGAGAATTCACCGCGCAGTATTCCGGAAACGGTGTGAGTCCCGACGACTGCTTTGCCGTGCTCTACGACGCGAAATTGACACTGCGAGAGTTAACTGTTGACGGCATTCTGCGTGTGTGTGTGTATTGGGCGTTGCTACTTCTTCTGGGATTGTGTGGATTTGTGGCGGTCTCCTGTGCCAAAGAGTGTGGAATTGCGGCTCCTCACGGAGAACATGTGCCGCGTTGCATGCGTGTTTTTGTTTTATTATTTACGTTTCGCTGTTGGTTTTGTTGTTTTCCTGGAATGATACGTATCCTTGCTGTTCCTTTATTTAATGGTCGGCTGCTGCACACTGTCATGAGAGACATGTTTCTCCTCTTTGTTTTGTTTTTTTTTGCCCACACGCGGTGCCGGCCTCATTGCTGTGCGTCCCACGGAATGCACGAAAGGAGGATTGGAGGAACAGGCCGGATGCCGCAATGAAGTGTGAAGGATGTTGTGTGGGCTGGTGGAACAGCAAGATCTCTTTTAAATTTATTCAATGGAGGCAATATATGTATACACAAACACATGCTCTTATTTTGCCGCTTGGCGCATGAAATAAACGTCCTGCCGAATAAATTTTATTTATTTATTCCGGGATTCCTGCCGGACACTCAACTCTTTTTTTTTTTTTATTGCTTAACTTCTGGTTTGCAGGGCGGTGTGCAAGTTCTGCAATTGTACTGATTTCCTCTGCCTCGACGTGCGTGCTGCTCCTGCTGCTGTTTGTTACTTTGGCTGTGTTACTTTTTTCTCTGCTTACTTCTGCTCTGCGTTGACGGGAAGTTAGTTTGTGCTGAAGGCTGCACGCAAGTGACAGGAGTGATGATGGCGATGATGATGACTGGCCGTGTGCTGCTGGTGTGTGCCCTCTGCGTGCTGTGGTGCGGTGCCGGATGGGTTTATGCGAGAGAATTCGAGAGCAACGCACTGGGTGGCTGCATGGCGTCGGGAGCGTTGGGTGCTAGTTGGTACCATATGCCCAGCGGATGTGATAAAGCTGCGCTTACGCCGCCCTTACGGTCAGCACTGCCTATTCCTGCTATAAAGGCTGAAGCTAGTGAGGATGATGTTCCTCTTAGGGAAGAGGATGATTCAATTTCAACTTCAGGTGCAGTTGTTGGCACCGCCATGCCTGGTGAAAGTGACGGTGCTGCTCTTGTCATTCAATCTGGTCCCCCTGCTGGTGGTGTTGCTCCAACGACCCCCAGCGGTGGGTCATCCACCCAAAACATGGAATCTCAGCGAGCCGTTCAGCATTTAGAACCAACCGATCCTGCGGCGTCCGTATTGCCCAAAGTGGAAGTACCGGGGGAGCCAATGCCCATTGCAGAAGAAAGCCTTTCTAATACACAAGATAGACCAGAAATTCGAGTTACTGGTGAGGATAATACTGAACGCGAGAAACTGCGGAGTGCTGTGGATACGGGAGACCGTTTCAGCGACCAACCAAAAGAACCAACGCCGCCATTGAAAACAACACCACAATTACAACCAACAACACCAGTACCGCCACCGTCGTCAAAAGCATCAACAACGGAATTATCATCAGGAGAGGGAAATCCACAAGCAGCAACAACAGACACGCAGACTCCAACACCAACAATTGGAAAGACGACAACGTCAGAAACCGCAACGGACTATAAAGCACCTAAAACTCCTTCAAAGGATGATGAGGCAGAGCAACACAGTAAAGAGAGGGTCCCATCGGATTTGATGAAGAATACAGCCAACGGCCATCCAGCAGACACAACAGCATCATCCATCCCTACAATTGGCAGTGGTGATGTTCAGAGAAATGCGGATAAGAACGGCAATGATGCTCAACGGCCTGACACAAAAGGAACACACAACGACCCCGCAGCTGTTAATACCAACGATACTCTTACAGCCAGTGTGGCAGCACCACAAACAACAGAAAGACTTGCCGATGCCAAAACAAATCATACGGTGACACCTGGCGACAGTGACGGCGGCACCGCGGTCTCCCACACCACCTCCCCTCTTTTGCTTCTTCTTGTTGTTGCGTGTGCGGCTGCTGCTGCGGTGGTGGCCGCGTGAGAGTGTGGGAGAGAGAGCCGTGCACCGCCCGCACACACACTCGTCTTTCACCCACTCTCTGTGTGTGTCCCCTTGCATGGACTCTCGCCCTCACCTCACCCCACGAAGCACACACATAATGTGCCCATTGTATATATGCATGCACACCCATGCAGGCCCGTTGGTGCTCTCTTTTGCACGACACGCACCGCTGCCGTCCTGCCTGGCTGCATGGGCGGAGCACCGTAACTGTTTCTGTTTTGTTTTTATTGCATTGAGTGGGCGACCTCTCTCTCTCTCTCTCTCCCTGTGTGTGTGTTTTGCTTTACGGGAGCAATGAGAGTGTGTGCGCTGGTCGTCCCACGCTTCGGCTTTTTGTTTTGCTTTTCATTGTTTTGTGGTTGAGTGCACCCATTCCAGTTTTTTATTTATTTTTGGCATGCGTTTACTGCGGACGTTTGAAATTGTCTTTTGTGTATTATTATACTGTTTCTTTCTTGTTGGGAGAGTGTTACCCTCTTCTCTCCCTGTGACGCTACTGTTTTTTTTTTTTTTTGACATACGCCATGCGTCCGTTGATCCACGTCAATCTGCGGCACCGCTTTTGGTGCTGTTTGTGATGATGTCTGCGCTGTGATTTGTCGGCGGGTGTCTTGCTGTCAGCCTGACGTATCCTTCGTTCCTTGACGATTTGTTGCGTACCGACGGTGCGTGGGCGTCTCTGGTGATAGTGAAGGACGCGTGCCTCAGAGCGCAGGATGCGTCGCGGGTGTGCGGCGTCGTTTGTAAGAACCGATGTGTGCCCATCCGCATCCAGGCGTCATCAACGGACTGTGAGGACAGCATAAGGCACTGCGGCTTCTTTTGGTGTTGCGCAAAGAATATATTGGACGGTGCTTTTGTTTTCAATCTTTTGCAGCTTTTGTGGGAGAAGGTGGGAAGTTGATGGCATTGGGACTGAATTCCTTTGAGTGGCTGCGCTCCGTTGACTTGCGGCCAGTCGTGGCACTCTTTTGAGGTTTGGCCGCCCGTCCCTTTTGTTTACTTCCCACCGCAGCATGTGGATAACACTGATGTTAAGAACATTTGTTTGACGGGTGTGGGCTGCTGCCGTGCGTGGTGCGTGGACTATTTGATTGTGTGGGGAGGTGCGTTGGGTTGACGAATACTTCTGTTTTGCGTGTCGCGGTGTGTCGGAATGATGTTCGGATGACATGTGAAGGGTGTTGTTTGTAGTTTGTGTGTCTTCTCTGGTGGAGCCGACATGTGTGCGGGATTGTGGCATTGCTGGCTGACGGTTCCACGTCACTTTTCGGCATTCCTGGATGTGCTGAGGAATGACGGCTTGCGACCAGCGTGTTGGTGCTGTTGGTGGGAATAAGTGCATCGGGAATGGGCCGTTTTCTCTTTTCCGTGCTGGAGCCGATGAACTGGCACGAGGGCACCGGCTGCAGGCTGCCTGCCAGCACGTGTGAGCAGCGGATCCATGCACACACCGACGCTCATCGTAAGAGCGTGTGCGATCACAGTGGCCTTTTGTGGCGTGCTTTTGTGGGCGTCAGCCCATCGAAGAATGTGTGAAGCAAACGGCTGACTGCACACGAGGAAAATAAGTGCGTGCACTGTGCCGTGTTTCAGTCTCGATGGCAGGGCGGCAGGAAGCCCGTGCTGGCAACTGAGACCTTTGCGTCGCGAGGGATGTCGGTGTTGATTTTGGATCGTCGAGGGTGAAATGATTTTGCTGCTGCCCGTGTGTGTGACCACTCCGGCAGAGGGCGGACACAAAAGGGAGGATGCAGGCGCTGCGTGTGTGTGTGCAGGTGCCATGCGACAACGTTACAACAAACATGCTGCGACTCGGTGACCCTCACATCGTTGTGGTCCTCACGAACAGCCGAGGCACGGCCCACACCGATGCACTTAGTGGACGGAGTGAGGCATCTTTTGAGGCACTGCAGGGAACAGGATGTGTTGACGCAGCCACGACGTGCATGGAGTGTCACGATGGCACAGTCGGCTGTGGCTGGTGGAATATTTACTTCTCGGAGGCAACAGAGAGTGAGAGAGAGCTGCTCCTGCTGCTGGCGTCGTTGCTGCCTTTTGTTGCCTCCCATGCCAATTAATTTCTGTCCGCTGATCATGGGTGCTGTGCCTCCACTAGTGACGTCGTCTGCAGGCATTTCACAGCACCAGTGAAACACACATCACGTCGCATGCTTTGGCTGTGGATGTGGTGTTGTGAATGCAGCCGGCATTATTTTGCCCGACTCCTTTTCACTGCTTTGCGACGAATAGATGCGTCGCCGCCCGAGTCATTCACTGCAGCTCCGTGTGTTGTACTGCCAGCACAAGACTCTCCTGTTGTCTGACGCCTGGCTGACAGTCAAACACCACTGCGTTGGGACATGCAAGGATGTGGACTGCCGCTCACGGTGTTGGGCACCGCTGTTTGGATGCGGCGGCCACACGAGCGGATTTATTGTGGCACAACCAAATGCGTGAAATACGCGGAATCACAGCGGCTGCAGTAATATCAGCGGTGTGGCACCACGGAATATGTGAGAGGAGGTGATGCATGATGGATCACGGTGGGCGGCATGCGAGGGAAGTGCACCGCGACGGAGCGTCATCCCGCCCTCAGCCTGCAGGGGAATGTACACCCACAAAATATATGGACGAGACACCACCAAACACACACATGCCCTTCCATGCACCAATAAATAGGAGCGAAGGTGCGCTCTGGTGCGTGGGAGTCCACTCACATATTTTCATTTCCACCACAATAAACGGTGAGGAATCAGGTGCCACAGCAACGAAAGGAAAAACATAAACATCTATTGCAACACTTTACCGGCGAAAGGCAGGAACAACACAAACCGAATTATTGGCTGCACCAACACAAGAAACATTCACAAGAGGAAAGAAATAATAATTGTGCACCCTGCAGAAATCCCCAACACACGACCCAGGCATGAAGATGTGTACTCCGCAAAGCAAAAAAAAAAACAAAAAAAAAAAAACGCATGCATGCATCTGCCAACATCCAAACAGAAACACAAATAAATGGTTGCTTGCATTATTTCATTTCTTGCGCTTATTTTTGCGTGTGCTGCTGCTGCTGCGGTGGCCGGCCTGCATGAAGTGGTGTGCGCCGAATGTGAACGAGGGCCAAACACAACTGAATTGTTTTGTGATGAATATTGGCTGCACTTCCCGTGGACCAACAATCCACGTGGTGTGCGGGGACCTCCTTTTTTATTTTTACTTTGCTTTTGTGTTGCTGTGTGCGCTGCAACTCCTCTTGTGTGTGTGCGTATCCTCCGTGAGGGGTGCTGTCACGACGGACCGCTCTCGCCGTATGTGCATGCGGTGGAGCCTTGTGTGCCGCTCCTGTTTGCTTCTCCCTCTTCCATCTGTGTGTTGGTGTTGCGGCAGGTTTGTGTGTGTGTGTGTGCCTGCTGCCGTGGATTGGAGTGTGTGTCGTGCGTGGTGTGCGGCGTACGGTGCATGCCTGGCTGCTGCCCTCTCCTCATGTGGTGTGCCCTCTGTGTGTGTGTCTGCCGCACCTCTCGTCTCCCCTGTTGCTCTCCATGTCCCTCACTGTGCAGATCAGCTCCACACCACTGAACGACCACACTCACGATGATGACGATGTGCCGTCTGCTGTGCGCCCTGTTGGTGCTCGCCCTGTGCTGCTGCCCGTCTATGTGTGCATCAGATGCTCCGAAAGTTCAAGCTTCTTCCCAGAAGACCACGACGACTAAAACACAGGCACCAACCGTGAGGATACCGGTCACTCAGGGTCCTCAAGGTAAGGAGTCCGGTGGGGACAAGGGAAATCCTGTCGTACATGGAGATGAAGAAGGTACGATCGGTCCTGTATCGCAATTAAATGCCAAGCCCAATGCGTTAGCGGCAGAAGTTGAGAACGCTATGATAGAGACAACAAGTGACAAGAATCCATCCGCAGAACAAGCAGTTAAGAAACCTGACGATCCTTTCGAGAAGACCACGACGACCACTACGACAAAGGCACCAACCACGACCACGACCACCACTGCGCCACATGCACCAAGTACTACAACCACAGAGGCGCCAACCACGACGACCACCCTCGCACCGTCACGTCTTCGCGAAGTCGACGGCAGCCTCAGCAGCTCTGCGTGGGTGTGTGCCCCGCTGCTGCTCGCCGTATCCGCGCTGGCGTACACCGCTGTGGGCTGAAGAGGTGTATGCGGGCTGTGCGTGCCAGCACTCAACCGCGGGGATTTGTGCGCGTCTACTGTGGTCCGATGTATAAAGTAAGAGAAAATAATGATTGTGTTTTGCTTTAGTTGCCTCCGCTGCCGTGCTGTGTGCTCCGCGTTGTGGCTCCCTGTATCCGTCACGTTGAACGCATCGCGGACACACTCACATGCATGCGCACTGGAGCCATGCTGTGCAGCTCCCTTTTTTTTTTTTTACTTTATTGCTGTTTGTTTATTAGTGTTTTTTAATTGTTTTTTTTTTTTGCCGACTAATTGCTGCGGGGCTGCGTGCGTTTTTTGCCCTTCCACTGATTTCAACTACCTCCTGGTGTGTGCATTGCCATTTGTCGCTGTGCGTGGTTGTGTGGCGTGTCTCTCTTTTTGCTTTTACTCTGCGTTGACGGGGAGTTAGTTTGTGCTGAAGGCTACACGCGAGTGACAGGAGTGATGGCGATGGTTATGACTGGCCGTGTGCTGCTGGTGTGTGGCCTCTGCGTGCTGTGGTGCGGTGCCGGCGGATTTTATGCGAGGGATGTCGACAGCAACGCAGTGGGTGGTTGTACGACGTCGGGAGAGTTGGGCACGGGTTTGTCTCATGTGTCGAGCGGATGTAATAAACCGGGGATTACGGCGCCATTGCGGTCAACGTTGCCCGTTACTGCCGTTGAGGCGTCGGGTGAAGAAATTAATTCTGTTACAATGCAGAACGATTTGGGTTCAAGTGAAATTTCCAACGCTGCTGGCCCTGGTCCCGCTGGACTCGCTGATGCTGCTGGTGCTGCTGGTGCCGGGGTTCCTGGTGGTGGTGGTGGAACTTCTCTTGGAGGTGGTGGCACCGATGAAATTCCTTCGGGTTCTTCTGGAGGTAAAAATGAGCCTGCTCCTCCTCCTCCTTTAGAAACAGAAAACGAAGCATTGCGAGTTACAACAGTCGGAGAAGATGAAGCAAAAAAAGCACCCCAAAATCACGATAATTCAGTCGAACACCAGTCTGGACAAAATCAAGAGCATCTACACGAAGAGGAACGGGAAGGAGAACATCTACAAGAAGAAATACGAGATCAGCAAAAAAAACAGGAACAGCAGGAAGAAGAGCACGAAGAGAGCATAAAACAAGAAAAAGAACAAGAGGAAAAACAACATCAACAGCATGAAAATGCTGCGGAAAACAGCGAAGAACCCACAAAAAACGAAACTGCCGTTGGTACAAATGCCACCGCTTCAACTGGCGACAGTGACGGCAGCACCAGCGCTGTCTCGCACACCACCTCCCCTCTTTTGCTTCTTCTTCTTGTTGTGTGTGCGGCTGCGGCTGCGGTGGTGGCCGCGTGAGAGTGAGGGAGAGAGAGCCGTGCACCGCCCGCACACACACTCGTCCTTCTCTCTCTCTGTGTGTGTCCCCTTGCATGGACTCTCGCCCTCACCTCATCCCACGAAGCACACACATAATGTGCCCATTGTATACATTGCATGCACACCCATGCAGGCCCGTTGGTGCTCTCTTTTGCACGACACGCACCGCTGCCGTCCTGCCTGGCTGCATGGGCGGAGCACCGTAACTGTTTCTGTTTTGTTTTTATTGCATTGAGTGGGCGACCTCTTTCTCTCTCCCTGTGTGTGTGTTTTGCTTTACGGGAGCAATGAGAGTGTGTGTGCTGGTCCTTCCACGCTTCGGCTTTTTGTTTTTTGTTTTACTTGTGTTGTGGTTGAGTGCACCCATTCCGCTTTTTTTGATTTGCGGCATGCGTTTACTTCGGACGCATGAATTTATTATTTCCTTTTATTTTTTACGAGGAGAGTGTGAGTGTTTTGTATCCTTGTGAAGCCAATAAGTTTTTTATACGTATGCCGTGCGTCAGTTGATCCACGTCACCCTGCGGCCTCCAGTGCTTCTGCTTGTGATGATGCCTGTGATGTGTTGTGCATGCGGGTGCTTTGCTGTCACCCTGACGTATTCCTGCTCCATTGACAAAGCGGTGCGTGCCGCCAGCGCGAGGTCGATCCCGGCTGTGGTGAGGGAAGTGTCCTTTTGGAGCAGAGGGTACGTTGCAGACATGCATCGTCGTTGGGAGGAATGGATGGGCGCCCACCCGCGTCAATGTGTCGACAAGGGAGCTGGATGATGCCAGGAAGTATTGCAGCTCAGAGCGGTATTACGCAATGAATTCATTGGTGGCAATTGCGAGTGTGAAGGTGACGTTTTTTTCTACTGAGAATAAATGAAATTTTTCTTTTTGTTATACGTTGCGGTTACTATTCGTTGATAGGCTGAGGACTGTCCGTAGAAACGTGGCCAGTTTTTAAGCCTAAACGGTGCTATCGTGCGAGAGGGGTTATCCCACAGCATGTGCGGCAGGGCCTCCCGTGGACCCTCAGGCGGCTCAGCGGCTGGTGGTGGTTGCCGTAGCGGAGTGGCTGAAGGGCTATGGCTGTCATTGGAGCTTGCGGAGGTGCGCTGTCCGTTTTTAGCCCGTTGATACGCTTGACATTTTTGGTAGTGACCTGCGCGTGAGGCACTTCTTGGGAATACGGTGGAGCTGTCGCAGAATCCAAATGCGATGCCTTTTCCAGCGATTGGAGTGCCAGGGTGGACACGTCGGGCGTGTGCCTTCATACGATGGACGAGAAGACTCTGCTGCAGCTTGGGCAGGGCGACGTTGATCCGCTGCTCTTCGTTCTACGAGGAGGTGCCGTCGATACGCTAGGTGGAGGTTTCGGAGGCGGTCGGGGCGGTCCTGTCTCTTCAGTGTGAGGAAGGGACGGCACCACCGACATGAAGGGTTGCTTGTAACCTGCAGGGCGCGTGTCGGTCTGCCGAGGAGTGGGCAGGAGTCGCATCGCACCTGTGCGCAAAGACGCGATTCGACGCCCTATTTCTGCGAGGAGATCAGGAATGGGGTCCTCGCCACACCGACGAGCGCCTGGCGTGCGGTGTACGCGCCTTCTGCTTCCTCCTGGAATTCCTTCCAGCATAACCTCTTGACCGCGGTAAGGCAGTCCACGTGCCAGATTAGGATGCCCTCTTGCGGGAGAGAAATTGAAATCGTGGCTTCTTCGTCAGTTGCCTCATTGCGTGGGATACCGCAGTGTGATGGGGAAAATATAAATTCTACAGGACGACCTCGTTTCACCAAGGAAAGTGGCATAATTAAAATCGCTTCAGTAACGCGGTCTCGCATGGCCAATGGGCAACGGAACGCCTCAATTGCTGACAGGGAGTCCGTTGCCACCAGAATTCGTGTGGGCGATTGGGATATTTCCAGACAAGGAGGTATAAGATGCCCAAAGCCATTTTCGATGGCAAGGCACTCTGCTCTATATGAGCACGCGAGCCTGCCAGCTGCTGCACGATGGACCTCCACAGGGGCATCATTTGCCGTGGTGGAGTCGTACAATAGTGCAACGGATCCAGATGCGGGTTCAACGGGAGAGGAGGACTGTCCATCCATAATTCAAAATCATAATCCCCCAAAGAGGAGTAAATAGAGTCAAAAGCCGTGCGCCTCACATCGTCAGAGGTGTCTTGGAAAAGAGTCGCTGATATAATCTCACTTTGTTGCAACTCACAGTGTCCCATGAAAAATTCGATGTTGAATAGGAGGGGAGCGCGAAGGTGGTTGCGGGGTGTCCCAATAATGTTACAGACGCGGTGTAATTCATTAATAACGGCATCTCTCTGAAGCGGGATTGATGTCGCCGCTTTCCCATGCATGGACGGAGGCATAGGTTCCGAGTAGATAGGGGAACGCAAATCCCCATAATCATGGAGGCGTATACAGCGTTCCTGTTGTGTGAGTGCACGGAGCCAGAGTATCTTCCGGAGCGGGGGAAGATTGCCTTCCAAATAGACAGATGTGTCTTCCGTTGGTGCGCTGAAGACAAGAGATGCTTTACAACTGTCGCGGTACCGTACTTCCATGCGATGGAGGTAGTTGTAGGCAAGGCATGGGGCAATTGCCTCGCCACAATATAGTGACACACTGTGGACGCATCCAATCAAAAAGAATCGCATGGTGAGATGGGACGCACTAGCTTGTGCAACCAGTCACAATTGTTAACGGCGTAGCATGGTCTGCTTTGAAGCGGTGGAGGCGTGCGTGCCAAAATTAAGAAGGCGATCAATCGTGCTGCCCAGCAAGCGCACTGGGCGTGACTGAATACGTAGGTTCCCGCTATCAAGATGGAGATCGATTATTTTCTCGCCAGACAGTGTGTGTAAAGAGATGTAGAATAGAGCAGCCTCACTCTTATCGACGTCGATTTTTAGGTTGTGCTCGACAGTCCATGTCGATACAAGGGACAGGGCGGGTGGCATTGCCGCAGCACATGCATAAATGTCCGCACCTGAGGCAACAAGCGTGGGGTCGTCAGCGTACATGAGTGCGGAGGCAGAATAGATGTTGCCCATGCGGCGCAGCAGATCATCCACACAGTGGAGGAAGAGTTGGGGTCCCGGGACGCTGCCTTGTGGTGCTCCGGCTGAGGTGAGTTGTTTCCGGGAGTGCTGTTCGCGAGTGCATACCCTAACATAGCGGCCCCGCAGGTAGTTGTGCAGCCAGCGTTTGGTTCGGGGCCAAGGCGCGGGAGTCCGTCAAGCATGCCAAATAATTTCCCATGGTCAACGGTGCCGAACGCAGTCGAAAAATCAATCAAAACTACGAGCGAGCGATGGCGACGAGCGTGTCGTGTGGGGGCGCCGCCTCCAGGGCGCTCATACCCCACAGTGCTGAACACATTCAATCCACGGGTAATTTATCGATAACAAGTGTCACCACGTCCGATGAAGAACGCGAACGTGTAAAGCCAAATTGACGTGGGTGGTGCGGCAATAACGCTGACAGACGGCGGTGAATCATCCTTTCGGTTAACTTTAGTAAAACAGAGAATGGCGTGATAGGTCTGTAACTCACTGGGCGGCATGGATCCTTCCCGGGTTGGGAATAGGAATAGTGTCCACCGTATTCCAGGAGCCAGGCATGCTGCCATTTGCGAAGGGGTTGTGGATCATCGTTCTAATTGTGCCGCGCGCAACGGGCCCGAGACGGTGCAGGAATTCATTCAACTTGTTGTCGGGGCCAGCGGCCGAGCCGAGCAAGAAGTCACGGATGGTCACGTCAAGTTCATACGGCGGGAAAGGCCGATCCATTTCCCAGTCACCAGAGTTCAAAGGAGTGCAGCGAGCAGCAGCAGCAGTACAAGGTGATGTGGCACGTGAAACCCGCACAAAATGACGGACTAGCAGATTTGCCTGTTTCCGGGGCTGGGCGCAGACGCGGTCCAAAGATCAGTGCGGAGCACAACCGATCCCAGAGGATGAGGGTGCGGCGCCGCCACACCGCGAAGATCTCGCCAGTTTGGGCTGGATGAAGCCTCATGTTTTTCCACACGCGCTTCCAGAGGCATAGCGAAGCCACGGCGTAAGGCCTGATTTTATTCCCCTCTTTTTGGATCAATTCGGCTCGAACCAGGCTGTCTCCGGGCGAGGCAATGTGTGCGTTGTATGCTGCTTCCGCGGCGATCTCGGCTTGTTCCATTTCGTGTGTCCACATCGTTTTGGGGTTTCCACGGCTGCCGCGCGGGATATGGCGATCAGCTTCTCGCAAGTTGCCTCTGAGAACGTCCAACCATGTGGACGCGGTGGCAGGGAGTGTTTCACACAACGAGGTGGAAGCAGGCCAATCCGCTTTGCGCAGGGCAAAGGTGGCTTTTTCCCGCCGTGGCAGCGTGTTGGCTATTCGCGGAATGCCATCGTCCATCCCTACCGAGTAATATATTAAGGAGTGGTCCGAATCCATGTGGGGAGTGGATGTCCAGTGGGAGATGCGTAGTACGCAATACGCAGTCACGTCAGGGGACGAGACATCACGATTTGTGATCCGTGTTGCCTGCGCCGGATCATTTGCCAGTCCGAAATCCATATCGATTAAAACAGCGGCGAAGTTCTCTCCTCCAGTCGTTGATGGTATATATATGACTGTCCCGGAGTTCATGATGTCAATTCGGGTCACACGCGATAATCGCAGCGGGGCCCAAGCGACGGAAGGTATTGATAAATGTAGAATCTTGAACGGTTGCTGTGGGAGGGCTGTAGAGACTCACCACGCAAATGCTGCGACAGCCTGGTGGAAATAAGCGGACAGCAATGGTCTCCAGGAGTTCAGTGCCAGGGAGCGACACGCGCTCGCACGGTGGAGAGTGGCGCACCAGAATGGCAACGCCACCACCGCGCCCAGTGCGGGCCTGAAGGTAGTCATTATGGCCAGAAACCTTTTTCGCTACGTCACTGCGGTTATTTACTTCCTGGAAAAGAACCATTTCAGTTTGATGCTGCT